CACAGGTACTCACACAGACACTCAGACCACATATGTGCTCACACGTTTGTATGCACACTCTCGGACGTCCACACACCTGTGCTCACAGGTATTCACGTATAATTTACTCAGACGCACTGTGTACATGCCCACACATAAGTGTGCATGTTCGTGGATACATACACACCTGTGCTCGCAGGTACACACATACAATTACACACACAGTGTAGATGCTCACACACGTGTTCACATTCATGGACACACACACCTGTCTCACCGATACTCACGTATAGTTACTGATGCACATACTGACACCTGTGTGTACGACACCCTTTTACACAATTAAACACCTGTACGTACAAACACTCTCGCGTTCATACAGATACAGTGACACACACACGTCCTCGGAACTCTCATGGTCACAGATGCTCACACACTTAACACACCTATCCTGCATGTCATGTCCACAGAAGCACACACTCGTGTGCAATGACACACGCACATGTTCACACACTGGTGCATGCATGTGCCTGTACTGCCTGTGCACAATCACAGGTACTCCTAGATGTGCATTCACACAGTGTCACACAGGTGTGCAGACACACTCATGGACATTGTTTGTTCACATATCCACACACAAGTGTGTACCCATGCTTCATATGCACTCTCATAGATACACACACACATTGTTGTTATGTGCCGTCAGATCACCTGTGGCTCATAGCGGCCCTGTATACAACAGCTCTGAAGCCTGCCCTGTCCTGAGCCATCTCACTGACTCAAACACTCCTACCCCCATCGCCCCAGTTCCTGTAGCAATCTATCTCATCCGGGTCTTCCTCACCTTCGCTGTCCTTCTCTAAGGACTGGTCCCTCCTGCTTATGTTCCCAAAGTATGTGAGACTGAGCTCCAACATCCTAGCCTCCAAAAGGACATGGTGAGATAGGAACTCATACATTGTTGGTGGGATTGTAAAAATGGCACAACCACTCTGGAAGGCAGTTTGGCACTTCCTCAAAAAACTGGACATAAAAATTCCATATGACCCAGCTATTCCACTGCTTGGAATATGCTCTGAGGGAATGAGAACTGAGACACAAATGGAGACTTGTACACCAGTGTTCATAGCAGCGTTATGCACCATTGCAAGAACATGGAAACAGCCCAGATGTCCAACCACAACAGAATGGATTGGAAAAATTATGGTACATTCACACGCAGGAGCAACAATTTTGTAAATCACTCACTTGTGATAGACTGGAGAGCATTATGCTGAGTGAATTAACTCAGTCCCATACAGGGCAAATACTGTATAAGACCATTATTGTAGAACGTGTATGAGGATCCAAGGGGGGAAGGGGGAGCAGAGGGGTGAGGATGGCTAGGGTTGGGCATGAATCATAGGGTCACACAATTTGGTGGGGGAAGGGACATGGAGATAATAGGAAAGATCTGGTGTAAAATAATGTACAAAAACTTTCTCATGTGATTGAGACTCAGTGTCAAGAAGACGAAGATTCTCACCACTGGGCCAATTGGCAGCATCAGGACGGATGGTGAAGAGATTGAGATTGTTCACAGCTTAAGTTTGCTTGGCTCCACAGTCAGTTTGCTTGGCTCCACAGTCAACACTCTTGGCACCAGTAGCCAGGAAATTAAAAGGCGCATTGCCATGGGAAAGTCTGCTGTTAGGGACCTCTCCAAAGTACTGAAGAGCAATGGTGTCACTCTGGAGACTAAGGTGCATCTAATACAGGCTATGGTCTTTGCAATGACTTGTTATGCATCAAAGAGTTGGACAATGACTAAGGAGGATAGAAGGAGAACTGATGCCTTTGAGCTGTGGTGCTGGAGAAGAGTATTGAGAATACCATGGATTGCCAAGAAAACAAAGAGATTCATCCTGGAAAGGGTTAAACTGGGCTGCTCCTTGGAGGCAAGGATTCTGAGGGTTCGTCTGACATACTTTGGACATGTTGTGAGGATGGACAGGTCCTTGGAGAAGGACATCATGCTTGGTAGGGTGGAGGGACAGCGCAGGAGGGGAAGACCCTCTATGAGGTGGATTGATTCAGTGACTGGGGTAATTGGGATGGGTGTGTCAGAGACAGTGTGATTGGCACAGGACAGAGCAGAGTTTAGGACTGTTGTACATAGGGTCGCTATGAGTCGCAAGCGACTCGATGGCACATAACAACAACATATGAACTTTGTAAATAAACCAGTATAAAATAAAAATTATTTTTCAAATACACTGAAAAAACCCACCAAAACCCTAATACACACACACACACACACACACACAATAATCCTAGCCTCCAAAGAGAAACTTGGTTTTACCCACTCCAAGACAGACCTATTTGTGTTTGGGGTTTTAGCAGTCCATGGTATGTTCAATATTCTTCTCCAGCACCACAACTCGAAGGCATCACTTCTTCTTCTGTCATCCTTCATCATTGTCCAGCTCTCTGATCCATAGCAAGTAATTGTGAAGATGGTAGTGTGGATCAGGCGCACCTTGGTCTCTACACTGACATCATTGCTTCTCAGTCCTCTGGAGAGGTCCCTGACTGCAGATTTCCCAGTGCAGCACACACAGGGGTTCACAGTTACACTCACTGTGTAGCCCATGTGTTCACCACTGATGCGTGCTTTCACCTTCACTGCATGTACACGCTCATAGGTGCATGCACACATAGGTGTGCACACACAGAGACATGCACACACAGTGATATAAGAAGGCACGCAGATGCACGCACACACCTGTACTTCATATACACACACAGGTGTGCATGCCCACATCACGCTCTCTGACACAGAGATGGGTGCACGTTCATGAACATGCACGTTCTTCACAGATGCACACACACACCTGTACTGCATATACACTCACAGGTCCACACAGGTGTGCATGCCCACACTCGCATACACCTGTACTTCATATACACACACAGGTGTGCATGCCCACACTCACGCTCTCTGACACACAGAGATGTGCGCTCATTAATGAACATGGCACGTTCTACAGGGATGCGCGCACACACACCTGTGTTGCACATACTCACACACACTGATACCTTCACACACAGGTGTACTCTCATTACTATACAACGACATGCTCACCTTCAGTCTGATGCGTGCACGCACATGTGCGCTCACACACAGACCTACACCTCTCCCAGAGGTGACCGCTGACTGCACAAACCCCCGCAGGAAGAGCCCTAGTCTCTGCGTGTGTGTCTTTGTCTCTGTCTTTGTTTGTATGTCTCTCTGTCCTTGTCTCTCTGTCTCGTCCCTTTCACCTGCAGCTCTGGTGCTAGAAGCGCAGGTGTCCCCGGGCTCGGCTCCTGTGTGGCCAGGTACTTCATGTGTGGCTGTGGTCCCTGCGAAGGTCACAGCCCCCTGCATGTTTGTGGTGATGAGTCACTAACACCCTCAGACAGCTCGTACTCACATGGTGGGCTGCGGCCAGCAATGCCTCTGTGATGAGGGTCTTGGCAGCCTGATGAACGGGGCAAGAGGGCAGACCCCCACACCACGCCCACCGCCACCCTAAAAGCCTCCTCCCACCCACGCTGCAGAACATCCCCCACTGTGGGTACTCTCTGGGTGAGGCTCACTCCAGACACTTGTAGGGAAGATGACTGGACAGGCTTGTTGCAAAAGGGTACCCGATTTGAGCTTCAATTTAGTGAAAAATCACTAATGTGCTTTGAAGTCTCTTGATTACTCTTTGTCCCCCTTTCCTCTGCGGGGCAGCTCAAAAAGACTTCAGATCGTGCCCCTGTGCACACACAAGTGCACCCTGGGTTGTACCCCTGTGTGTGTGTGAGGGGGTCCCAGATCGTGCCCCTGTGCCCACATTAGGGGGTCCCAGGTCCTGCCCCTGTGCCCATACAAGGGCACCCCAGGTCATGCCCCTGTGTCTGTGTGAGGGATTCCCAGGTCCTGCCCTTGTGCCCATACAAGGACGCACTAGGCGGCCCAGTCCCTGCTCCCACATGGACCTGATGCAGAGCTGGGGATGGGAGCAGGCACTCAGGAGAGGAGGGTGCACTCACCTTGCAGGTGATGGGGCCCACTCTTGGCTGCTCCATGGTCCCCAGGGAGACATTCCCAAGGGGGCCTTTCAGATGGTTTGTGGAGTTGCATTCTTCCTGGATGTTTCTGTTATTCATTGTTGCACATTTTCCTCTCCCCCCTCCCTTTTACAGCAGTGGTGTTATGCGGTATTCCTCCTTTTGTGACTGAACTGTGTCACTCAGCCTCATGTCTTCCGGGCTCACCCATGTTGTGTAATGCTCCGTGAGTTCACTGCGTTTAAGTGCTGCGTAATATTCCATTGTGTGGATGCACCATCCTTTTTCTATCCATTCATTTCTTCATGGGCACTTGGATTGCTTCCATCTCACTGCTGTTGTGAATAATGTAGCAGTGAACATGGGCGTGCAGACATCTGTGTGAATCACAGCTCTGGTTATTTTAGGGGATATTCCAAATAGTGGACTGACTGGATCATACGGTATTTCTTATTTCTAAGTTTTGGAGAAAGCAGACTGCCTTCCATAGCGGTTGTACCATTTTACATTCTCACCAGCAGTGAATACAAGTTCCAGTCTCTCCACAACCTCTCCAGCATTGGCTGTTTGCTGCCCTGTTGAACTTACCTGTTGTTGCTGGGGTCAGGTCATATCTCATAGTTGTTTTGATTTGCGTCTCTCTGGATTCTTTCTAAACAGTGGGTCTTCCGGTGTGCATGGTGGTGCCACTTCACACATGACAGGGAAATAGCCCGCGAGTGCTCGGCAGTTCACACGAGCATGTGTGCCCTCCTCCTCCTCGGACGCGCAGAGACCCACGCAGGCTCTCCCGCAGCCCAGATGGGGGGAAGCCTGTTTCCCTGCACCTGTCCACTTTATCAGAATTTCCCTGGTGTCCTTGGTGCCCTTTTGTCCGGTCACATGGGGAGTGTGAGTCAGGTGTCTTCTGCTCAGTGCTGGCTCTGTCTCCTCCCTGCCAGGTGTTCCTGGTGAGAAAGGTGAAGGCATCCGACGCGGGCCAGCTCTATGCCATGAAGGTCCTCAAGAAAGCCACCTTGAAAGGTAAGGACCACAGGGTGCGGCCAGTGGACGCGTGACTGTGGCCTGTCCTCACTGTGTGCTCCCTCTGTCCCGGGTCAGTTCTTCCCTGCGCTCCAGCAGGCCGTGTGGCGCACGTGATCTGCGGCGGATGGACACAGTGCGGGCATCTCCAGCGCTGTCTCGTGTCTGTCCCGGCATGTTGTTCTCAGCAAGCAGAGCGAGTGAGCCCTACGGTGGAACCGGTGTCTGTGTGGAAAAGGGGCACAGGCAGGGATGACCGATGCGAGCCATCTAAACATCAGCAGCCAGCTTGTGAAATGTGCTCTGTGATGCGTCCTGGCCTCTGCAGCCCTGGGCTGGTGCTGATACTGGCTTAGCAACGGCTCTGGCCCCTAGGGCCGCGACCCCACTGAGGCAGACACATCACCACCCCTAGTTACTGCGGTTTCAGCTCCTGGTGCCTGTGTGTGAGAGTCAAGCTCCTTCTGTGGGCTTCTTACCAAAGTGGCTCTGGGCGGACATGGGTCACCAGGCTTCTGGTCAGCAGGCAGAGCACTGGCTGCTTGTGGCAGTCAGGGTCAAGGTCAGGATGCAGCCACCACCCTCCAGGCTCGCCCTCTGACACATCAGTAGTCACTGGTTGAGCCCTGTGTGTCCTCAGCACCTTCCTCCAGGGGCTGCCGAGGCTTCCTCATTTGCACCGCGTGTCACATGCCCCTGACTGGAGCAGCAGATCTGGGTTTAAACCACATCTAATCCGCAGTCTGGGGCAACAAACCGACCTCTTTCTCTTTCTCTGGGCTGTTGAGTCAGAAGCAACTCATGGCTGACCTTCCAGCAGGAGGAGATTGTCCGTCTTTCTCCACTAGAGCAGCTGGTGGATTTGAACCACCGGCCCTTGGATTGACAACACAACTTCTTACCCACTAGACCACCATAGACTGAGGGGAAATAAAGACAAACGGCCCTGATATCAATTCTGATGCACCACGATCCTCCATGGGGCTGTTGACGGTGTAAATCGTTGCAGGAAGAGGCTGCCGGTCTTTCTCCCACAGAGCCTCTGGGTGGGTTCAAACTGCCAACCTTTTGGTTACCAGCTGAGTGCTTAACCATTGCACCAAGGAAATACTTCTATTTTTCCTTCAGCTCTGGTATCTTTTGACTTCATGACGAGGGTGCAGGAGAGGACAGGGTGCAGAGCTTTAGTCTCTGAGTCGTAATCGACTTGGTGACACCTAACACCGCCACCACCACAGCTGTCATTTGAAAGGTGAGCAGTTATTGCACAGAGAGCCTGGTGGGAGGCCCCCCAGGGGGCTGTGCCATTAACCACAGGCCATGAATCCCAGGGGGCCGTGCCATTGAACCACAGGCTGTGAATCCCAGGGGCTCGTGCCCCACAGGCCGTGAACCCCAGGGGGCTGTGCTGCTAACCACAGGCCGTGAATCCCAGGGGTCGTGCCCCACAGGCCGTGAAACCCAGGGGTCATGCCCCACAGGCCGTGAACCCCAGGGGTCGTGCTGTTAACCACAGGCCGTGAATCCCAGGGGTCGTGCTGTTAACCACAGGCTGTGAACCCCAGGGGCCTGTGCTGTTAACCACAGGCCGTGAATCCCAGGGGTCGTGCCCCACAGGCCGTGAACCCCAGGGGTCGTGCCCCACAGGCCGTGAATCCCAGGGGGTCGTGCCCCACAGGCTGTGAGTCCCAGGTAGTTCAAATCCACCTCAGGATGAAGACCGTAATCTTGCAGAGGCAGATCATGACCTCGGAGACTCAACGGAGAGAAGCAGGGAGTTGGGGCCTCCCACCACCGTGACTGCCTGAGACTGTGGTATGATTTTCCTGCGGATAGAAGTAAGGGTTGTGCTTTGTTGATGAGAAGGTGCCTATGACACAAAGCAAATTGGATTTTGTTCCCAATTTATAGTAAACTAATATTGAGCAGTTCAGGATCACCTGGGTCTCTGAAAGACCGTTAGCTGCTCTTTTGGATTGCAGTCTGAAATGCACACAGCTCGGCACAGACCTGGTGTGTTGGGGTTGGGGGGGAGTGGTGGTGCCGAGGCGGTGCTGGTGCCGGTGCCGAGGCCGCTGGCTCGTAATGGTCACACACACACTAGAAGCGGCCCTGCCCGGTCCTGCTCCATCCGCACAGAGCCACCTGCTGCAGCCACAGGGCCACCCGTCTTCCTGTGTGTCTTCCCCTCGTTCACCGGCTTGGCCATGGAGCACCGGTCCCTCCTGACAAGTCGAAAGAACGTGAGATGACGTCCCCCCATCCCTGCTGCTCAGATTCTAGGGAGCGTCTGTCTGCATTTCTTCTATGACATACTCATACGTTCTCCGGGCCACAATCTAATCAGCACTTTTTTGCCAACACAATAATTCAAAAGCATCGGTTCTTTTCTGAGCTCCCTTATTCGTTGTCCAGTTTTCAACCTGCCTATGTTGTGTTGTTGTTAAGTGCTGAGTCATTTACGACCTATAGTGACCCTATGAACAAAGATCTGAGCCCTGTCCTGTCCTCCGCCCTCCTCACACGTCTGACACACTAGAGCCCACTGCAGCGGTCAGCGTGCCAATCCACCTCTCCTTTGTCAACCTCCGCCTTTCCAAGCACCACGTCCTTCTGTAAAGAACAGATTCTAGCAACATGCCCAGAGTACGGGAGGTGGGGCTTTAGCATCTTTGTCTCCAAAGAGCACTTCAAAGGGCAACAGTGAATGACTGGAAACCCTAAGTCTCTGTAAACGTTAATTAAAATTAATTAAAAAAAAAAAAAAGAATACTTCAGCTGCACCCTCTCCAAGACATATGTGTTTGTTCTTTTGGCCGTCCATGGGATGTTCAGCGCTCTCCTCCAACTTTACAGCTCAAGGCATCAATTCTTTTCTGTCATCTTTCTTCATTGTCCAGTGCTCAGGTGCACAGCAGGTGATCGGAAAGACCGTGGCCTGAATCAGATGCACCTTAGTCTGGTTATATGTACATGTGTTGAGGCAGTGGGAAATACCATGGCTTGGGTCAAGTGCCACAGGGAAGATTATAGGGATGGTGTTTTTTTAATATAAATTTTATTTTATTAATTTTAATGAACGTTTTCAGAGATTTTGGATTTCCATTCATTCGTTGCTGCACTTTTTTCCCTGCCCTTCCCCCCCTCCCAGTTTGCTCTGCTCTTTGAAAAGTAAAAGAAAAATTCCTTCACTGGTATACAGTTTCCCCCACCTGCCCCGAGTACACTCCACTAGGCAACCTTCCAGACTCTTATGATAACCATAACACCTATAATATATCGCTCTGAAATATTACAGGGTTTTTAGAAAAGATGTGGAGGAGTATCGATTACGGACCAGAGGTTAGGTGGAATTAGACGTCAGACGACTCCGGCTGGTTAGGACTTTGAGGAGCCCCCTGCAGCGTGCCTGTGTATCTAACACACAGTCTCATTCTTGAGTGATGTCAAGTGGTGTCAGCGTGGATCGGAATAAGGTCTTTTCTCCATTTATTACGGTCGTGTTTATTGGTCCGATGGTGAGGATTTTTGCTCCTAGTATCGTCTCCCACCTTTTATGGAAAAGGAACCCTACAAGGCAGCTGGTCATTGTTACCAGAGGCTCTGTTAGACGGAAATGACTCGCGGGAACCCGGCCCACCACAGTGGGGTGCCAGCCCCACCTCTCAGGCCCGTGCATTCTCAACCTGCCATGATTGCCTGTACATGTTTGTGCCAAAGACCTTGAACATGAGCCTCACAGAGCTGCCAGACATACCCCTGCTTTGCTGGAAATACAGACACCAGGAAGTACGGCTAAGCGGTTAGTGGAACCCCAGAAGTGAGACAATGTGCAAAAAATCTGGCCTGAGCTTTCCAAAAAGCCAGACGGCCTGGAGTAAGAAGGGTGCTGAGCCGTTCTTGGAAAGAAATGCAACAGCCAGATAGTTCCCAGCTAAGGCAGGGTAACAGCGTTGAAAAGGCATTGGAAGCCGCAGGGAAGTGCTGACGTGGCCTGAGAGGAGGAGGGTTGTGGGATTGCTCTCCGTTGGCCTGTGTGGTGGCCGCAGTGTGCTCCTGCCACATGGCTCCACTCTGTCAGTGTACCTCAGGGTCAAGGACCTTGGCAGCTGCAGTCCACATTCAAGCTTTTGTCTCGAAAAGCCCATAGCCGTCGAGTTAGGGCTGGCCATCCAGCAGGTTTTCAGAGTGTACACCGCGCGGGAGGACACGGCCCATCTTTCTCCTGTGGAGCCGCGGGTGGGTCCGAACCCCGCAAGAAGCTGCCTGTGGACTGGCAGCTGCACTCCCGATGGGCATGTGTACGTTTGTGTGTGTGCACGTGGGGGTTTGTACACCTGTATGTCGGTGTGTGTGGATATTGGTGTGGGTGTGTGCTCCCGGGTGGGGGCGTGTGTGCACATGTGTGTGTAGGGATGTGTGTATATGGGTGTATGCATACATGGGTGGGTGTGCACACGTGGGTGGTTTGCACATGTGTGTGTAGGCGTGTGGACATGTGGATATTGGGGTGGGTGGTGTGTGTACACATGAGGAGCTGGGGCATGTGTGCACACGTGTGTGTGCTCACATGTGCCTACATTCGTGTGTGGATGTGTGCACATGTGTGTGCATGCACACACATGCATGCACGTGTGTGTTTGAGGACAGAGAGAAAGGAAAGAACTGCATCAAAACATTAGCAATGCTGGAATCTCAGGGAGCAATTGAAATTCCGCAAACATCACCCCCAACCCCGTCGTCGTCCCCCCAACCCGAGCCAGGCCCGTATGAGGGAAAACCCACCAGAAAAGGAAAACTCAACTATTTCCCACTGAAACGGGCAACAAACCATGAAGTGTGCAGCCAGTCAAAGGCAGGAAGCAGGGCCCCGAACGAGAGAGTCCCCGCGCCCGGCTCTCAGGGCCACCGCAGTCCCCTCTCTGGCGTTAGGTGTGTTTGGGCTAAAAGTTGTGGGGCCGTTCTGGCCGCTGTCCATCACCAGCCAGCACGACCCTCACCATCCGTCTCTTCTCCTCGCAGTCCGGGACCGCGTCCGCTCCAAGATGGAGAGGGACATCCTGGCGGAAGTGAACCACCCCTTCATTGTGAAGCTCCACTACGGTGAGCGGGGCACCGTGCATGCTGGGGCGGGGGGGACAGGGCACCGTGCATGCTGGGGTGTGTGGGGGGGATGGGGACAGTGCAGGGCACCATGCATGCTGGGGGGTGGGGTGTGTGACAGTGCAGGGGACCGTCCCCCAAACCAACCATCGCCGACCTGGAGCCATGCTGCCAGGGCCAAGCAGAGCTGCCTTCTCCACAGAAGCCAGTGCCTCGCCTTTATCCCTCGAGCAGCTAGTGGGTTTGAACCAACAGCCTTCTGGCTAACAGTCGAGGTCATTAACCACTGCACCACTAGGATTCTCTGATGCCACAGGTCAGCAGAAGGCCACCACCTTAGGGGAGAGGCCCGTCCTGCTGGGGGGAAGCCCTCCCCACTCAGGGGCCCCCATCCCTTTCACACCCCTCTTCCTGAGTGAGCAAGATGTTCACTGTCTTCCGAGAGGCCTGCCTGTGGGGGACTGTCCTCGGTGGACTGTGGCGTTGCTGCGGTCACTGAGGAGCAGGCAGAGAAGTCTGTGACACCTCTGTGTGTTCAAGAACCGACTACTTCACGAATCCCCCTTTCTCAGTCTCCCCCCAATTCCAATGTCAGTCCTGTTTTACAACAGTGACACTATGCAGTATTTGTCCCTTTGTGACTGGGATACTTCACTCAGCATAATGTCCTCCAGGCTCACCCATTCTGAATAATATTGCATGAGTTCCTTGTTTTTCAATGCAGCGTAGTATTCCATTATGTGAATATACCACAGCTTCTCTGTCCATTTGTTTGTTGATAGGCACTTAGTTTTTTTCCAACTCCTTGCTATTGTGAACAAAGGCACGATAGACATGGGTGTGCACCCAGTCATGTTCTTAAGCCAGCAAGGGTAGCACCTCCCGTGGTAAGCAAACACTTCTCCCAGCGTTCATCCATGCACCCACAGAAGCTTCTCGACTCCCCTTAGCGGCCTGTTACATTCTCCACATTCCCAAGCGCAGCTGAGGCGCCCACACAGCTCTGCTTACTCTCCTTTGCCGGCTCCTTTTTATCTTCTCTTCAGAGAAGCGATGACGTAGACATTCAGATTACAAAGAAGAGAATACATGAACAGTGCTCCTGCACACCAGCGTCATCCTAAACCATCTCCAGCCCACTGGCCCTGGCTGGAGGCCACCTCACGTTGGCCCTCTGGGGGTAGCTAGTGGCTTGATTCTCACGGTTACAGCCCGACACGTTACACACTCCACACTCCGAGTCAGCACAGTCCAGTCCAATGTGAGGTCTCCTCCGTGGTCAGCACAGTCCACCCCCAGGCTCCTCTGTGAGCAGCACAGTCCACCCCCAGGCTCCTCCGTGGTCATCACAGTCCACCCCCAGGCTTCTCTGTGGTCGGCACGTCCGCCCACAGGCTGCTCCGGGACACACTTACCAGAAGCCCCTCGGAAGAAGGTCTGGAGCTCTGCCCGCAAACCCCAGAGGACACAGGTGTGCACTGACCCTCGTAAGGGGCTTCCATTCAGGTGCACCTGCCAGGGTGCTGTCCATCGGCCGTGGGCAGCACAGCTCTGTCCTGTCTCCTGGAGCCAAGACTGACCCGTCCACCCTGGCTCTGCGATCCACCAGGCCTTTCCTGTACTGTCAGATCCCATCCTCTCTGCCCTTTAAGCTGGTGCAAGCTGCTAACCTCAAGGTTAGTGGTTCAAATCCATGAGCTGCTCCTCGAGAATGAGGTGAAGCAGTCTGCTCCCAGGAAGATGTCAGCGTGGCAGCCCCATGGGGCACCTCTGACCTTCAAGGTCACACGCATCAGAATCTACTCAGGCCAGTGGGTTTCCTGCAGATTTGAGAAGTGGGTACATCACAAAGGTCTCCAACCAAGCGCCCCCATGGCCTTTGTGGTTGTGGAAACTGTCCTCTGCAGCCACCCCTCAGGCCCCAGGAGGGGACAGCAAGCAGTGGCTTCAGGGGGCACTGCCGCTTGGCAAAGCTTTCCAGCCGGACGCTCTGTCCTGTCGCCCCGGCAGCTCTCTGCCTCCAGTGTTCGCTGTTAGATGTAGGAATCCGAGTGAGGTGGTGACACCAGGGCCACTTCTGAGTGTGGTAGAGGCCGAGTGGCGTCTCCTTGATGTCACCAAGGGGTGATGGGGTCTCATGACCTGGGCTGACATGGCGATCCCTTTCTGTCACCTGAGGGGTGATGGGGACTCATCACCTGGGCTGACGTGACATCCTTTGCTGTCACCCATGCGTGATAGGGACTCATCACCCTGACTGACTGCAGCACACCGTGGCTGGCTGGTGTATAGATCTGGGTGTGTCTGGTATGTTGAATCTTAAAAAGCGGACAGTGCACTGTGCCACGCCGTGGCCGCTGCTGGGTTTGGTGATGGACACACAGCTGGCCTTTTGTCACAGATGCCGCCGAGGAGGTCATGTGGGCTCACTCCTGAAGCACCTTGTAGAAGGTGCCTCTACAGGGACGAGGCCCATCCACACCTCCAGCTCCAGGGAGCTCTCCAAGCGTTCTGGGTTCTGGGCTTGTCTCTGAGATGACAGCTTTGCAGATGGGTTGTCTGTGATCTGAGGAGAGCAGACTTCTTGAGTAATGACAGGATGGCCTTATGGCAGTGTGGACTTCACAGCCTGAGCCGAGCTTTCCTGGGGCAGGTGTGGTCACAGTGACCCTTCTTCCTCTGTGGTCCTCTGCGCCATCAGAGAGCAGGGGTGGAGGGAAGGACTAGCGGAGGGGACAGAGGAGGGCCAGCGAGGGGGAGAGCCGCGTCCTCGTCCAGCCCCTGGCATGCTGCTCCCTGCCTTGTGTTTCTGGAACTCCCAGGCGTGTTTCCAAAATGACTAAGCGTTGCGCATAAAGTGACTGAACCCACAGGAACTGAGCTTTCTGAGTAGCAAAGGGAACGATGGTCACGCAAGGAGACAACCTGTCATATGTCCCCAGCTGCTAGGACATGTCCCCCACTACCATTGTGTGTGTGTGTCCCCCACTGCTGACCTGTGACTGTTACCACTCCCAAGGTTTAACTGGCCCCACCATCAAGATTTGACATATACCCCATGCTGATGGGTGACTGGGTGGCATGTCCCCACTTCTGACCTGTGGTATCCCCACAGCCTTTCAGACGGAGGGGAAGCTCTACCTGATCCTGGACTTCCTGAGGGGCGGGGACCTCTTCACCAGACTCTCCAAAGAGGTGAGCTGACCACAGAGGGCACTGACCACAGAGGGCACAGACCACAGAGGGAGCTGACCACAGAGGGCACAGACCACAGAGGGCACTGACCAGAGGGTGCTGTCCACAGAGGGTCCTTCTAGGGCTCAAGGGACAGAGCAGGAGAGGCCACACTGGTGGGAGAGGGTGGGAGAGGCTGAGCACGTGAGTGTGTGGAGTGAGAGTGTGTAGGTGTGAGTGTGTAGGTGTGGATGTGTGACTGTGTGTCAGTGTATGAATGGTGAGTGCCAGCGTGTGAATGGGTTTGTGTGGATGCATTTGTGTACATTGTGTGTGAGTACGTGTGTAAATGTACATGTATGTTGTGAGTGTATGTGAGGACGTGTGCACATGTGAGTGGTGTTTGCGGAGAGTCTGTGGGTGTGAGTGAGAGAATGTGTGAGCGTGTGCGCAGAAAGCTGGTGGGTTTGGAGTGAGTGGGGTGTGGGTGTGTGTGAGGGTGATTGTGAGTTTGTGAGTAGGTAAAGGGGGGGGTGTTCACAGTGTGTGAGTGTGTGCTGTCACCTAAGCTGGCCAGGGTTCTGTGATGTTCTAGAAGGTCGCTGGTGTTGGGCACCAATCCCGTCTCAGCCCTCTGCAGTCTGGCTGACCCCCGCCGTCTCTCAACCCCTCAGCCCCTCAGTAGGAATTCTCCTAATGCTTATAGGCAGCTCTCCACTGATGGATGCTGCTTTGTGGGGTGCAGAAGCCACCTGAGGCCGCGGGAAGCTGCCTGGGGCCAAGGTGACACCGCCTTGGGGCAGCGGTGAAGCTGGGCTTGTTCATTCTTCTGGTTCTTTGCAGGAGATGCCCCTGTACAGGAAGTGAAAGGCTGACACAGACTCTGGTCACTGTGCACACAGGGGTCAGTCGTCTCACAGCCTTCCCTGAGCGGGCCATTAGCCGAATGGGTCCCCTTGTCTGGCATGACTTTCCAGATACCACCCAGCTTGGCGTGGACCTGGGCATTGGAGCAGAGCGTGGTCTCTGCCACCTGGCTTTGTCCCTCAGACAGCGGCTGGATCTGACTCTGCCTAGCTCCTTGCCACGTGGCAGCGGGGGCAGGCTGTCATGTAGAACACCTTTCTGGCAGGTGTCTGTGTTGTCCTCCGTCCACCACACACTCAATGCTCATGTTTCTGGGGGGCTTGGGCCTTTCAGCAGGTCCACTGACTGACCCTTCCTCGTTCCGCTTTAGGGCGTCAGGACATTGGGGCCCGGCTTTGCCTGGTGCCTCATGTGACCCAAGCGAATGCTAATGAAAATCCCTGTCCCTCTAACAGCAGAGTATCATCTCCCCACGAGAGACCCTTTATTTCAGAGCAGAGGAAATCCTGTGGTCAGCACCACAGATGCTGGGCCCTCGGGGACCCTGAGAGGGTTATTCTCCCGTCCAGCAACACGACTGTGGGGTCACCTGCCGACCGGCTCCATTCTCGTCCAGCGACACAACTGTGCGGGCACCTGCTGACTGTCCCCACTCCCACCCAGGAGCACGAGCCATGCAGGTCACCTGATGACCATCTCCTCTCCCGTTCAGTGACACAGCCTGTGCATCACTTGCTGACTGTCCCCACGGCCCCCCGCACCCCGGACTGTGTGTCCCCTGCTAAGCACGTCCACGGACTCCCAGTGGATTTGTATTTCTGTGGGAAACCCTTTGCCCTGTACACTCAGGGCCTGGGTGGAGATGTGCCCCAGAACCGGAAAAGGGCCAAACCGAGGCTGCTGTCAGAGCTTCAGAGCAGAAACCCAGAAAGTGAGAGCAGGTGCGTGCATCTGCAGGAATCCGGCCGAATGCAGTCATCGCCAGCCTGGAGGACAGCGCCAGAGAGGAGCCGGCAGTCAGGGGAGATGCAGAGACCTCCGTCCTGCCCAGAACCTTGGGGCTGTGCCAGCCCGTGTGGAAGTGTCCCCTGGGGACCGTGCTCCACTCTCCTAGTGTGACTGCCTGAACCCTTCAGGGCCCTCAGCTGCCCTTACCCCAGTCACCAGGCAGCTCTCTGATTGTGCCCTGACTCTCGTGTCCACCCTCGGAGGGAGAATTTTATAGCAACAAGGCCTTCAGGTCTCCAGGGCATCGGCTTCTCGTAGTGAATGTCAGCCTGGTGACAACCTGCCGTCTCCCGGGCGGCCACAGTACAGGTGCCGGTCATAGCAGTGACGAGGCGTGTTAGCTCTGCTGTCCACTGTCCTTGAGTCGGGGCCCACACATGAGCCTTCCATCGGGGCAGCTGAGGAAAGTTGGCCGCTGCCCGCACCGTCTCCGTGCCCGAGACGTGCCTGAGCCCATGTCTGTGGCTGTTACAGCATCGCACTGGCTTGATGAGCCTCCCTTAACATGCTGTCCCTTTCCAGCGATTGGTCAGTCCTGATCCATGTTGTTGGCCCCACCAGCTTCTCTTCTAAGGAGTATCTGCTGGTCGACCAGATGTCGCAGTGTTGAACATGGCATGAAGTCTGTTCAGCACCTTGGGCAGGCTCCATCCCTGGGCGATTGGCTGTCCCCGTGTCAGGTCACCCTGACCACATTGGCCTTGGTGTTCACAGAGGCCCGGAAACCTGGATAAGATGCCATGATGCCCTCTCCTCCCCAGCCAGCCTCCCTCACCCGGCACACACACACACACACTCTCTCTCTCTCTCTCTCTCTCTCTCTCTCACACACACACACACACACACACACACACACACTCAGCTGACCCCGTGGCCCTGGGCGGATCTGGTAGAACTAGCCTCAGGCTCATGGTCAGCAGATCCGCTGAAGCTGCCACTTTGCACTGATCCAAAGAAAAGTCCAAGAAGGAAAGAGACTCAACGTAGAGCCTGTCATTCACTGCTCGTCAAGTCTTCGCTATTTGCAGCCCAAATGTTAGTATTAAAATGTTAGGAATTCGCACCGGCAGCACTCATGTTAAAGTAAACTCAGAAACGCGCTCCACCCATCAACAAACGAATGGATAGAGAAACTGTGGTATATTCATGCAATGGAATATTATGCTGCATTGAAAAACAAGGAATTCATGCAATATAATTCAAAATGGGCGACCCTGGAGGACATTATGCCGAGCAAAGTATCTCAGTCACAAAAGGACAAATACTGCATGGTGCCACTGTTGTAAAACAGGACTGACATCGGGGCTGGGGGGAGACTGAGAAAGATGGGTTCAATAATGTATACTGCATTGAAACAGATGAGGGAGAAAACTGTTTAAAAGGGATACGTGATTAGGTATTTTTGTCATGACAGGAGTCCAGAGTGAAGGCTGCATAGTGGAGTGGATCTGAGGGGAGGGATTGTAAAACAATGAAGGAATTTTTCTTTTACTTTTCCAAGAGGGTAGTGTAAGGGGGGGGGAGGTTGGGAGGGGAGAAAAGTGCAACAATGAATGAATGGAAATCCAAAGTCTCTGTAAATTTTCATTGAAATTAATAATTTAAAAGTTTTTTAAAAAGAAATCAAATAATGTACACAAATTGGCATAATAAGTTCTCGATAAATTTTACTTATCATTAAAAAAAAAAAAAAAAGAAACGCGCTCCATGGCTCAGTGACTTGTGAGCTGAGAAGACGGGCGGGAACTGCCTCGGTGGCCTCACTCCAAGGCGGGTTAAGCCAGCATGGTGCCAAGTGTCCTCTTACACATGCCTTCAGCTGAGAGACTCATCTTCCCCTCGCCGGAGCCAGGGCAGCCTGTTAGAGCGGGTGGGAGGGTGGACATCCTGGGACTGAGTCATGGTCTATCTGGCAGAGACCTTCCAAACAAACCAGCCACGAAATAAGGCCCCCAGCCTGGTTCTCTTCCCTCCGTGCCCTAGGTCATGTTCACAGAGGAGGATGTCAAGTTCTACTTAGCAGAGCTGGCCTTGGCATTGGACCACCTGCATGGGCTGGGCATCATCTACAGAGACCTGAAACCTGAGAAGTAAGTGGGGAGGAAGAGGGCTTCCTCCAGACTCCACCTTCACCGTGTTCTCTGTGGCTTGTAGTAAGAGCCGTTTCTCGTCTTTCTTTCCAAGTACAGATCAGAATACAGGTAGGGGACAGTGCTCTCCTGCCCCCGCCCCCGCCCCGGGCCCTGTGCAGAGCTTCCAAGTAGGATACACGGTGCCTGGGCTCCTGCTTGGTTTCCACATGGGCAGCCCATGGCCCCTCTCTCAACTGACCCCTGGCTCTCTCTCTCTGTGTGGCTGTTGATGTGTTGGTGTCCACCTTGTACACAAGACGCTGGAGTCGGGAGGACGCAAGCCCGACCTGGCCCCACTCTCACTCTCTCAGTGGGTGACATTTCTCTACCCCACAGCCTAGAAAGTGTAGAAATGAGGCTGTCCTTGGAGCACCCAGTGTGGACACAGCCCAGAATGGACACAGCCCAGGGTGACTCACAGAGTTGTGCATCAGTAGGAGAGCCGACTTCCCCAAGGAATCAGACAGAATAACCCCCAATCCAAAGAATTAGCCAGCCGGAAAGGGATGGGTTAGTACAGAAGAAATCGGGGAAGAGTCAGAGAAAGGGGGCCCTCTGTGATCAGCTGTGTCCAGCCATTATGTCCAGGGCCTACAGAGCAGAAGTGTCCCAGCCCATTTGCATGTGTCCTTTTAGGACCTAGATGCTCCAGTCTGTGTGACCTGATAGGCCGCCCACCAGACCCCCTTGGTCTAGTCGCACGCTCAGCGGGCAGCTTTCGGATTCTACGCTGATGTCTCACAGCTGCCCTCAGAGAAAGCAGTGGGCAACACATACCTTCCCCTCTGAGAGTCCGCCGTGCTCTCCTCCACCTAATCCTCGCCAGTTCTCTTCCCCCAGGGCTCGAAACTGTCCAGCTGCTGGAACAAGCCCAGGACACGGCCACTTAGCTTCCCCTTCATTCACTGACGGACGTGTTTGTCAGTGACAAGCCACATTCCTTTTTCTAAGAGTTTATCTGAAAGAGTACAGCATCAACATCTCCAACTCCAAAATCCAACAAGATGTGTTGTTGGCAATGGTAACTGGTAATCTTAAAGTCCCTCAAAAATAATGTTGTTGTTCTTAGGTGCTGTCAAGCACTGACCCTCCACCTTTCCAAACGTGGTACCTCTCTTCATGGAGTAGTGCTCATGGCAAAAGTGAGATGAAACTTTATCATCTTTGCCTCCCTCCAGGGAGCACTCCGGCTGCACTTTCTCCCAGACATAGCTGTTTGTCCTTTTGGCCGTCCCTAGAGTATTCCGCACTCTTCCCCAGCACCACAATTCAAGAACATCAGTCATTCTCTCACCCTCATCCATTGTCCAGCTTTCAGATGTGTAGCAAGTGATTGAAAAGACCATGGTCTGACTCATGTGCACCTTTGTCTTCAGCTTGACACCGTTGCTCATCATTAGTTTGGAGAGGTTCCTGATAGGAGACTTTCTCAGTGTCATATGTCTTCTGATCTGATGACTGCTGGTACCAAGGGTGTTAGGGACCCGGTCTCTCTAAGGCATCTCGGTCATCTAACACTGACCAGCCTTCGCAGTGTCCCTATTTCAGTCCTGTCTCCTAACGCCTGGTCTCTTACGTGCCTCTCCTCTCTCTCCCTTCCAGCATCCTCCTGGATGAAGAGGGTCACATCAAGATCACAGGTTTGTACCCTGTGCGACCCCTTCCCAGCTTGAGAATCATGGGGACCATTCAGGGCCCGGAGTCCCAGGGCACCCAGGTTTGTCAGGCTCCCCTTGGATCTGAATGTGTCGTGGATATACACGAGTCTTGCTGAGCACTAAATACTTAAATGCCTGGATGCTGAAATATACAGACATACATTTTGGTGTTTCATTAGGATGGACAGTGTGACTGTGTGGCCAGTTTCTCAGTGGCCTTCTCCGCCCTCTCTTGGGACACGTGGTGCTGTAGTGTCAGAGGTCACAGTCCTCCCTGTTGTTCTGCCAGTGTGGACCGGGCTCCCGTGTGGTCCTGGAGGAGGGGTCAGGTTCACCTGTATTGTTAGGAAGTGTGGACCAGACTGAGGTGGTCCTGGAGATGTGGACCAGGCTCCCGTGTGGTCCTGCTGGTGTGGACCTGGCTCCTGTGTGGTCCTGGAGATGTGGACCAGGCTCCCGTGTGGTCCTGGAGGTGTGGACCCGGCTCCTGTGTGGTCCTGGAAGTGTAGACACGACACCCGTGTGGTCCTGCTGATGTGTTCCAGGTTCCTGTGTGGTCCTAGCTGTGTGGACCTGGCTCCTGTGTGGACCAGGGTCCCGTGTGATCCTGGAGATCTGGACCCGGCTCCTGTGTGGTCCTGGAAGTGTAGACACGACACCCGTGTGGTCTTGGAGGCGTGGTCCTGGCCGTGTGGACCTGGCTCCTGTGTAGTCCCAGAAGTGTGGACCAGGGTCCCGTGTGGTCCTGGAGGTGTGGACCCGGCTCTCAGTGCCCCTGGAAGGGCTTCCCCTCGGCTCTAACTGGTTTCATCTCTTGTCTGTGTGGATTCCCCTGAATGTGGCTCACAGACTAGGAAAGTTCTCTTCTTTTCACACTTAGATTTTGGCCTGAGCAAGGAGGCCATCGACCACGACAAGAGGGCCTACTCGTTCTGCGGGACCATCGAGTACATGGCGCCTGAGGTGGTGAACCGGCGAGGCCACACGCAGAGCGCGGACTGGTGGTCCTTCGGAGTGCTCATGGTGAGACCCTGCTGCTCCCAGGATTCCTTAGCGCAGAAGAGACCCCTGACTTGTCTTGGAGGTCGTTTGAGCTCCCCCAGTCTTGGCCATCCCTCCCTCCCGTGGTGAAGCCCCTTCTGTCATGGGTCCCTCAGCTCACGGTAGGTCCCATCTAGTTCTGCTCATGACTTTGCCATCCCTCACAGCTGGCGTGAGTCCCAGCTCCAGCTTGACTGGAAGGGAACTATGTGTGCCAAGTATTGGATTGGCAGGCGGCGCTCATCTGCGTAGTTGGATCTTTGCCACTGGTCTGAGCCCTGAGCCTCTGCAGCGCTGTGTCCTGCCAGCCAAACCCTCACCCTTGAAGATGAAGTGAAGGGAGGGGGAAGCTGCTTCCCTGCCCACAGGACACAGATGACTCCACCCTAGGCCCCATCATCCGGGTGTTGATGCTGCTGCAGATGCCAGGGCTCCACCCCAGGCTCCATCCTCGTCATCCTGGTGCTGATGCTGCGGCAGACACCCAGGTTCCATCATCCAGGTGCCGATGCTGCAGCAGAGGTGGCTCTTCCCTGGATCCGTTCTCCTTCAGAGTCTGATGCTCCCCCAGAAAACACCATGTCTCTGCCCCACTCTCCGGATCTGTTCACTGTCGATCTTGCTGAGAAGCAAATGCCAGGCTCCTGCCCAGGCTCCATCCGCCCTCTGGTGTCACTGGCACCCTCTGCAGTGGAGGGCACCCGCACCATGGCTTTGTCCTCAAGCAGTTTCTGCTCCTGTGCTCTCAAGCAGGTGCCCATGGTGGTGCGTGGATGTGGGGGTGTGGTCCGCACACTCCAGCCATCCACACACATACACAAGTCCACAGGCACACTTTAGGGACATTGGTTCCATGCGCCCGGAGCTGGTGCCCCATCCCCGCCACTCACTTGATGATGTGCTCTCCCTGTCTCCTTCAGGTTACATTGTTAGCCTGCCTCTTGATTGCTGTTAAGAATGTCTATCAGCCTATTAAACTTGAACCTGGGCTCCGTCACAGAACCTCCTCGTCCCCTGCTCCCAGCCGCATTTGGGGGTCACTGAATACTGTTCTGCCTGTGGTCCTTAGTCTGGTGCCTCCTTTCTTGGTCCTCACAAAACTCTTCAGAAAGGTTCTAAGCCCGCCATTGTTTGTTGGGGTGGTACACAGGTGTCCAGTGCTTTCCTGAAGGTTCAGCAGCACTAGTGAGTAGGTCAGGGGTCAGGCCCACTGGTCCGAGGGCACAGCCAGGGACCCAGGTGAGGCGAGGCTGTTTGAAATCCGTCCAGGGACCTTGATCAGCCTTGTGCTGTTCCACATTCAAGCGAAAGCCCGTCTCTGTGCATCTCCCTGGGACACGCATCAGTGAGGGGACCCTTCAGTGCTGCAGTGTCTCTAAACAATTGACTCAGACTCAGAACGGTCATACTGAGTGGGCTCATATCTCCACATTGAATGGACCCGCAGGGAGCCCTCAGGATGGACGTGAAGTCCACAGGCCGCGAACCTAGAGGCCAAAGAGACCGTCACTTCTGTGAGCGGCCTCCAAGGACATGCCTGTGGTCTCTGCCCACCTGCAGTGCAGAAGGATGAAGACAGCAAAGCCTCAGGGATGCAGCTAACCAGAGCCTGCCTGACCTGGGCAGGAACCGCCCTGGGCCCCCAACTACCCTGGGCCTGGAACTGCCCTGGGCCCCCAACTGCCCTGGGCCCCCAACTACCCTGGGCCTGGAACTGCCCTGGACCCAGAACCGCCCTGGGCCCCCAACTACCCTGGGCCCGGAACCGCCCTGGACCCAGAACCGCCCTGGGCCCAGAACCGTGCTGGGCATGGAAGAGCTGGATGGTGCACGGCCACTGCTGGTAACCGCACTAATTGGGAGCACAGCGGAGTGCTGGACGGAGGAGGAAAAATCTGGAGCACAGGATTCAAACTCATGAAAACCAGATGTCCAGTCTGGTAGAGACTGGTGGAACTCTAGAGACCAGCCCTCAAACATCCTTAAAACCTGGAACGGAACCCACCCACTGGGTCACCCTGTAGTGGACTGTAGACAGGAATCCCAGAACACTTAACTGTGCTCATACGAAATCTACACCGAAACCAAGAAGCTGTTGTCTAAACAGAGCAAGGAAACACTGCGATTTAAAATCAAGAAAGGAGTGTGTCAGGGCTGTATCCTTTACCTGTTCAATCTGTGCTGAGCAAATCATTTGAGAAGCTGGACTCTGTGAAGAAGAGTGTGGTATCAGGATCGGAGGGAGACTCGTCAACAACCTGTGTTACACAGATGACACAACCTTGCTTGCTGAAAGTGAGGAGGACTTGGAAGTGCTTGTTACAGAAGACGACTGTCTTCGATATGTATTACATCTCACCATCAAGACGACAAAGCTCCTCACCACTGGACCAATAGGCTACGTCATAATAGATGGGGAAAGGATTGAAACTATCAATTACTTCATCTTGCTTGGATCCACAATCAACACTTTTGGTTCTAACAGTCAGGAAATCAGGAGATGTATTGCACTGCGTAAGTCTGCTCTCAGAGACCTCTCCAAAATACTGAAGAGCAATTCAGTGCTTTCAGTCTGAAGACTAAGGTGTGCCTGATTTAGGTCATAGTTTATTCAATCACTTGCTCCACATCTGAGAGTTAGACAGTAAATAAGAATAAAAGCATTGATGCCTTTGAGCTGTGATGTTGGGGAAGAGCAGTGAGGATCCCATGGACTGACAGAAGAACAAACCGGTGTCCTTGGAGAAGGTGCAGCCAGAGTGCTCCTTGGAGGCAAGGTTGGCAAAGCTCTGTCTCACGTACTCTGGACAAGTTGCTAGGAGAGGCTATTCCTTGTAAAAGGACAATATGTTTGGAAAGGTGGAGGGCTGGCAGAGAGGAAGACCCTCCGTGAGAGGGATTGACACCGTGACTGCGTTATGGGGATCTAGTGGGTCAGAGATTGCGAGGAGGCCACAGGGTTCAGATTGTTCATCGGGTCACTATGAGTTGTGCTTGACTCGCCGGCATCTAACAACAATAATCCATGAGGAACAAGCTCGTCAGAACAACCACAGGAGATGAGAGAGCTGTGCTTGTCCCCAACAGCTCTCAGTCAGGAGGGGCAGGAAAGATAGGGCCTGTGTAAACACAGAACCAGGGGGAAATTACAGCTAATGTTGGGAGACAAAACGTATGGCCACTGTGGAATGGAAAATTAATCTGACTTGCAAGCCTTTGCCCAAATCAGTTTTTTAAAAGCAAAGAAGAGCTAGAAGAACTTACTGGCAAAGCCTAAGCAGTATTGATTGTGGGTATCTGGAGAATGGGATTGTGGGCAGTTTTCCATCCTTCTGTGTGGTCGAGTGGCTGAGTCAGAATTGAGTCCATGGACGGGGGATGCCACAGGGCGGTGTGTTTCTAGACAGCATTTACCAGGATTTTGATAAAATAGGAGAAAACGACTGAGGGCAGTCTTGAAAGAATGAAGATAGATGGGCACATTGAAAAAATGAATTTTAAAAAAGCCAAACTCCCACCCTTGGGTCAGTGCTGACTTGTGGAGTCCTCTGGGCTGCGGCCTCTGGGCTGCACGTCCTCACAGGGGCAGTGTGGCCCTCCTTCTCCCAGAGTGTCTCATGGGTTTGAACTGCAGGCTAACACCTAACACAGTACAGCACTAAGGTTCCATGAAGATCAGGATGGGACAGATCCTGAGCTCACGGCACCAAGCCGCCTGGGACTCTGCAACCCCAGGGATGACAAAACCTGCCACTCCGCTCCGTCTCTCCCTGAGCCTTGGGCGGCTGCCCCGTCGGTCCACCTCTTTGGCAGTCTTCCTCTTTTTCACACACCCTCTCTTCTCTGATGGTTGTGTGCTTTTCCAGGGTCTGGGCCCCTTGACCACATGCTCCAAGTAGGCAAGACAGTCTCACCATCCTTGACCAGGAGGAGCGCACTGGCTGACCTCCGAGACAAGGGCTTCTCTGGTGGCCTGTGTTCTCTGCCAGCACCACTTCCCAGGCTTCGATCCCCATTCAGGGCACAGCCCTTCGGAGGACAGCCTGCAATGCCCTGCTACCACAGGAAGTGGATGGGCATGCACTTTGCCGTGGCCCCTGCCTCATCCTCTGACACTAAAGCTATTCAAGCTGAGGGCCGTGAACTTGAGAAAACCTTGTGGTGCCTGGAGGCACTGCCCTCACGCCCCTCTCATCACACTCCTTGGCCAATGCCCCGGAGTCACTGTGGCTCCCGCCGCCTCTCTTGGTGTGATTCCTGGCAGCATGGTCGGTTCCCACCCCCCGGGTGAGCAGGTGGGACACAGGACCTCGTACGCAGCAAGCTGACCTCTTCCTGCCAGGAAGTGTGGACGGCACATGAGACCATCCCAGAGCCCCTATCCTGTCCCCACATCTGTCACTCTGCTGTGCCCCGCAGCGCCTGCCCCCTCCAGCCTCCCATCACACATCCCCACAGGAGAACTCACCCCCGCCCGTGTCCTTTCTGCTCTGCAGTTCGAGATGCTGACGGGGTCGCTGCCATTCCAGGGGAAGGACCGCAAGGAGACCATGGCCCTCATCCTCAAGTGAGTAGCCTCCCGTGGACCCCAGGCTCACGTACTTGGGTATGGGGCGATGACGGGACCTAGACTGTTTCACGCAGCACGTGGACCATAGACAGCAGGGGTGCACGCCCCCCCTCAGAGAAAGGCACAGACCCTCACGTGGACTCATAGCAAAGAGCTTGTGCCCACTGACTGGGGACACGTGCTCACTGTGTGGACACAGCACACAGCCTGGGGACACGGCACACAACTTGGGAGCACGGCACATGGCCTGGGGACATAACACGTGGCCTGGAGAATGAGCCATGGCCTGAGCGTTCATTAGCTCGCTGTCTGCAGACACAGGGTGGTCAGCTTTGGGCTGAACAGAGCACTGTTTCCGGGTGCTGCAGCCTGTGTGGTAACAGCCCTGAGTCCAGCAGACGCCTGACCTTTCAGCCTGCAGGTGCCCGGGACTCGCATGTAGCCCATTAACTAACATCACGTTCCTTGGTCACTGGAGTTGGGAGCCCTGGTGGTGCTGTGGCTAAAGCCTTGTGCTTTTCACCAGAAGATCATTAATTTGGACACCACCACCACCCCCAGTGCAAGAGCGATGAGGCAGTGTGCCCCACAGAGACAGCAGCCTGGGGATCCTCTGGGGGGGGGGCCTGTCCTCCAGGGTCAGGACCAGTCAGGAACAGCCCCACAGCAGTGGGATTGGCTGGGCTCATTCGAAGGTTGAGGGACAGCAAGGCTGTAACAACTCCAGCTTGCACAGTGTCCATTCACCAACCACTCAACCACGTAGCTGTCCTGTCCTGAGGGGCCTGCCTGGCGAAGCTGCCTGAGCCCCCAGATCTGTGGTTCTGACAGTACAGCCAGAGAACCCAAGGAGCCAGGTCCTTCCTGGGCAGCCAAGTCCTTTACCTGTCTTCCTCATAGACGGCTGTGAGGTGTGCAGGGCACCGGTGGGTGAGAACCGTTGACCTCTTAGCCGAGGAGCCAGGTCCTTCTCCTGTGTTTTCCTCAAAGACGGCTGTGAGGTACGCAGGGCACTGGTGGGTGAGAACCGTTGACCTCTTAGCCGAGGAGCCAGGTCCTTCTCATGTGTCTTCCTCAGATGGCTGTGAGGTATCCAGGGCACCAGGTGGGTGAGAACCACTGACCTCTGTTAGCCGAGGGGAGAGACCCAGAATGTGACCACCAAAGGCCTCTCTCACCTCTGGTTTCCTTTGCTTTGGAAGCACAGTTGTCAGCCGGACAGGAGCCAGGCCGGCAGGCGAACAGTTACACAGAGAGCTGCCTGCACCTCAGAGACATCAACCCACCCAGGGACAGAGCTCGGAAGGCGGGAGGGCTGGAGAGGAGGTGCACAGGAAGTGGGGAGAGTGCAGCCAACATGTGGGGTGTGTAGTCCGTGGAATCCAGTCACCCAGTGGTAACTGTCGATGGAGACCCATGTGCTCTGTAAACCCCACAACAATTGCAGGAACATGCTTATAAAGATGCCATGCTGTTTTTATGAAGTTCATGGATTGTCATAAAACAGCAGCCGCTGTCTCCAAGCTGATCCCAGCTCGTAGAGACCCCCAGGCTGTAACTCAACAAGAGGAGACTTTGTCCCACGGGACAGCTGGTGGATTTGAACCACTGACCTTTTCCGGTTGGCAGCCCACCATGTTGTGCACTAGGCCGCCAGCACTCTTTCACTATGTTGTTAAACGCCGTCAACTCAAGCACAGTCCATAGTGACCCTGAGAACAGCAGGTCTGAGCCCTGTCCTGTCCTGTCCCGTCCTCACCGGCTCTGTCTCACGGGAGCCCACTGCTGCAGTCACTGTGTCAGTCCATCTCATTGGGCGTCCTCCTCCCTTTTTCATCTTTCCAAGCGCGATGTCCCTTTCTAAGGAAAAGTCTCTTTTATTATAGTGATTTTTTTAACTCTATTTATACTCTTCATTTCTAGTACAGAGGACACTGAGAGACTTGACCCTCACTGGCACACTCATCTAGAGTCCTCAGTAATTGCCAAGACTGGGAAAGCGTCCCAAGTCCACAGTGAGAGCCCACTGCTCTGAGAAAGAGACAGCTTTTTGGACTGGCCATTCGATACCAGTGCTGTCCTAGGGTCTTCAAGGGCCTGTTATTTCAGAAGCAGATGGCCAGTCCTGCTTCTTAGTCTAAAAGCTCTGCTGAAACTTGTCCACCAAGGGTGACCCAACTGGTACTTGAAACACCGGTGACAGAGCTTCCAGCATCACAGAACACACAAGCCACACGGCACAACAGGCAGATGAGTGGAGGATGGCGCAGGACTGGGCAGGGTTCTGTTCTGTGTACACAGGGCTGCTGTGAGCCTGAACTAACTCACAGCGGCTATCAATGGCGTGACACTGACTGATGAGTCTCAGAGTACCAGAGAGACTGGCCCCTTCTAATGCTGCTTTCATTCTGTTTTCCAGAGCCAAGCTGGGGATGCCCCAGTTCCTCAGTGGGGAAGCTCAGAGTCTACTGAGAGCCCTCTTCAAACGGAACCCCTGCAACCGGCTAGGTAGGAGCCCACTGGAGCCTGCTGCACCCCACATGGAGGCCTCTGCCCCTGGTGGTGGTGGTGATGGTTGTAAATGTTGTGCTGATGATGGTTGTGAAGGTGATGGTGGTGATGATAGTGGTGGTTGTCCTGCTGGTCGTGGTGGTGGTGATGATTGTGGAAGTGGTGGTGGTGGCGGTGATGATGGTGGTGTTCGTGATAATGGTAGTGGTAGTGATGATGACGGTGGTGGTCATGATATTAGTAATGATGATAGTGCCGGTTATGATAATGGAGGTAGTGGGGGTGATGATGGTGGTGGTCATGACAATGATAGTGGTGGTGTTGGTGGTCATAGAAGTGATGATGGTTGTGGAGGTGATGGTGGTTGTGGAGTTGGTAATAGTGGCAATGATGGTGGTGGTAGTCATGATGATGGTGGTGGTCATCATAATTATAGTGGTGGTTGTGATAATGGAGGTGGTGGTGATGATGATGATAGTGGTGGTGATTGTAATGATGATGATGGTGGTCATGATAATGGAGGTGGTGCTGGTGGTGATGATGGCGGTGGTGGTGTTCATGATAATGGTAGTGGTGGTGGTGCTGGTGATGGTGGTGGCGGTGGTCATGATGATGTTAATGGTGGGGCTGGTGGTGGTGATGATGATGGTAATGATGATAGTGGTGGTCATGATAATGAAGGTGGTGCAGGTGCTGGTATTGGTGATGGTGATGATGGTGGTGGTAATGGTAGTGGTGGTGGTGATGATGATGATGGTCATAATGGTAATGGTGGTGTTGGTAGTGGTGGTGGTGGTGGTGATGGTGGTAGTGGTCGTGATAAGAGTAGTGGTGATGATGGTGGTTGTGGTGGTGATGGTAATAATAGTGGAAGTTATGTTGGCAGTGGATGTGATGGTATTTCTGGACGTGATGGTAGAGGTAATGGTGGTGGTGATGGTGGTGGAGGTGATTTGGTAGTGATGGTAGTTATGGAGGTGATGGTAGTGGTGAAGGTGGTGAGGATGGTTGTGGAGATGATGGTGATTGTGATGGTGACAGCCTCTCCTCCCTTCCCTTCACTGACCGATGGCCTTTCCTGGTGATTGGTCTCTCTGGATGCTGTGTCCACATTAGGCCAGCAGAGGTCTCACTCACTTTGCTGACTTGTTTGGTCTCCTGCTCTGACCTAACCTCTATCAAGCTTGGTTCTTTCCAGAGTTAAGTCAAACGGTTCCTTCTTGTTGTTGTTGAGCTTAACTTTATAGGCCTGTGAGTTTTCCGTTCCGCAGCTGACACACATCTTGCTTCGTGGCCTCAGCTGTAATCTCTCTCATCTCCCCATCCTCCTTGCGGCCCTTCACCTTCCTTCCTGTCCCTTCCTGCCTTCCTTGCTCTGTCTGGGGCAGCTGCTGCCCGTGCTCTCATGCTTGTAGCTGGGGTGGAGGTACCACTGTACATCGTCCGAGTGCCAAGGACGTGAGGTCTGTTCACAATTTGCAGGACACGGGGCTGCCCACATTCTGGTAACTGGTCTCTGAAAGTCATTGTTCTCACGGTGGGGGCAGTTTTCCTGCCATTTGCTTGACTGTCCACACTAAGGGTGGACCCACTGAAGGAGCTCCCACGTGTCCCCAAAAGAGGAGTGCACACCCTTCCTGACAGGAGAGGTGCACACGTGTCGGCAGCAGCTGCTAAGTTGCAAGACACTGGACTTGACCTTCAGGCGCCCGAGAGGGCCGTCTCTGGTGGCATGCCTGTGGTGCACACTTTGCAGTAACGCACCTGCTGTCCTCTTTTTCTCCTGCCTGTGGCTCCCACAGGTGATCTGATAGAACGAGTCGCCGCCCTCGTTGGGTCCTGCTGAGAGTGACCAGGATAGAGGTTCAGTCAGCCACAGGCCAGGTCCCAGCGGGGCCACCCGGTCCTGTCTAAGTGACTGACAGTGCCCCGCGTGAGGCTCACCTCCAGCTTAGCCTGATGCTTAGTGCACAGCTCCACCAAGGCCCAGCAGGCCACGTGACACCCTAGGAGGGACCCGCCTTTCCCCTGGGAGCCAGGACTGTAAGAGATCCACCAGTTCACTTCAAGGGGGCCATGAACTTGGCCTAAAACAAGGTCAGGTGTGAGTGTCCCATTAAAGGCGATTAATTCCAGCTGAAACGTCGTGGCTTCTTTCTCTCTCACTGCGGTTCACAGGCAGACCCTACCCAGCTTTCCTAAGTCTTACTAGGAACTCGAAGATCTTGCGGCAAAGTTCCCTCTTAGTTCTGCTGGGGTTTTTTGTTGTTTTTTGTTGTTGTTGTTTGACAGATGAATGGCATTTTATTTCTAATTTGATCCATCAATTTCTGCAGGACGCAGTTCTCCCTCTGCGGTAATTCTTAGCCATGCGGAGGTTCTTCCTGGCTTTGCGTTGTTTACAGTACGCTTCCAGGTCCTCAGGAGAGCTGCCTTCTGCTCATACGGCTGCTTCTCCAAATCTGTCGTTTCAGACCACATCTTCCCTGTGGCCTTTGCCACCTCCACCACTGAACAGCCTGGGTTTTCCCTCTTCAGCTGGGCATAGTGTTCTTTGCAGAAGAGTATGAAGGATGATGGAGGCCTTCTGGGTGCCTGGGGATCACGCTTTCTCCTCTTGCCAACATAGTTCATCATCTCTTCCTGGTACCGGTCTTTGTCGAGCTTGGCCAGGGCTTCATATTTAGCTTTTTCATGCTTTGAAATGGACCTCCATTTTTCCGAACACTTTCTAGAAAACTCTTTAAAGTCAGGGAAAGTATTTGGCTGCTGCTCCTTGAATTTGTTTCTGTAATTCAGCAAAAAGTGAATGTAAGAAGACACATTCACCTTGGGCCTTAGCGGGACGTCTTTGCCCATGTTCACAAAATCATCTTCTTTTTAGATTCAGGCACTTGGACAGCAGAGGCTTTGGGCCTCGCGCTCCAGGAGCAACCCAGAAGGCCCTTTGCTTTGTGGTGAATTTTCCTCTCTGCGCAGCCTTTTTAGTGGTGGTGGCATTGTTGTGTCAGAGGAGAGGATTCAGTTCTGCTGGTTTTTTCATCAGAGAAGCTCTCCCCTTTGAGCCAGCACAATGTGGAAAATGAACTGCCCGTGACCACAACTTGATTCCTTTTACTTTCGTCTGGGCTCCAGATAAGGCCCCTGCCCTCTGTCCCGAAGAAATAAAAGCTGGAACACTGACACACTCGTGCCCATGTTTACTGCAACACGATTTTTAATACAGCGTAAGAAGTAACCCATTGTCCATGAATGGATGAATGACTGGAGAAACTATCATGCGTTCACAAGTGGAGTATTGTGCATCACTGTGAAATGATCAAGAATTTGTGAAATACTGCACCACATGGACGAATCTAGAATGGATTATGCCGAATGGCTTAAGTCGTCACAGATGGACAGTTATGGTAATAGGCAGCCCTGCACTTGTTCACTAGTCTATGCCAAGAAACTTGGAGGGTAGCTGCCCGGCCAACTAACTGGACAAGATCAATATTTGTTCCCAATCCCAAGAAAAGTAATCCAACAGAATGTGGAAATTACTAAATGTCATTAATATCACACATAAGCAAAATATTGCTGAAGATCACCCCAAAATGGCTGAAACAGTACATTTACAGGGAGCTACCAGAAGTTCAAGGTGGGTTTGGAAGAGTCTGGCACCAGGGATATCATTGCGGATGTCAGATAGGTCCTGACTGGAAGCAGAGAATTCCAGAAGAATGTCTATCTGTGTTTTATTGACGTAGAAAAACATCTGACAGTGCTAAAATGGAGAAGAATGGGAATCCCAGAACCTTGTGCTCATGTGGAGTCTAGACCTAGAACCTGTTGTCCAGATGCAACAAGGGAACTCTGTTCTCTCACCTTCTTTCTTTTTCCACAGACAGTGATCGGGTGGAAGGTTCTGGGATGGGGAGCTCCTTCCTCTGTGCAGTGGAAGACCCTCCAAGACTCTCACTGCCTGACTCAGGGGGGGCCCTCAGATCCACGAATGTCAATGAACAAGAGAGGAACCTGAGGGAACAGGACTAAATTCCAACATCGAGAACACAGTTGCCTGGGAGACGTGACCTGAACCTCTGGTGAAGGACAAAGAGCACAGCCTTCAGCAGGCATGGCCTCTGAGCCTGAAGAAACTCCTCCTCCTAACTGAGGCCATAGCAGTACCATGATAGGTGGTGAAGACTCGGGAGGTGTCAAAGATTTCATTCTGCCGGAACCAACACCCACGGAATGCACAGTCCAGAAGTCAGAGGTTCTGTTGCGTTGGGGAAAGCTCCCGCAAGAAGCTTCTTTAAAATCTTGAAAAGCAAAGATGTCACTTTAATGATTGAGGTGCCATAAACTTGTCTGTGTCTTGTGTGCGTGCAACACCTGGATGTGAAGAAGGAAGAGCCAAGGTGAGGTGCCTTTGAGTTACAATGAATTACAGTGAGTTACAATGAATTACCGTGAGTTACAATGAGTTACAAAGAGTTACAGTGGCCAAGACCGTGAACCAGCAGGCGCATGAGGCGGCCGTCCTGAATGAGGCGGCCGTCCTGAAAGCGCTGCAGGCAGAGCGTTCGCTCCTGAGAAGCGGGGACGTGCAACTTCCTCTCGCAGACTTTGGCCGTCACCAGGAGGGGCGACTTCTTGGAGAAGGACTTGGCGACTGGTAAAATAGGTCAGTGAAAAAGGCACACCTGCAGCGAGACAGTGGACACAGTGGCTATAGTCGTGGGCTCGGATAGGCCCCGATTGTGATTGTGAGGGTAGCACAGGCCCGGCAGGCAGTGTTCTGATACATGTCCCATCCCATGAGCTGCAGCGCCATTTTTTTTTCTTTTCTTTTTTTTTTTTCATTTTATTTCAATGAACATTTACAGAGACTTTGGATTTCCATTCATTCATTGTTGCACTTTTCTCCCCGCCCAGCCTCTCCCTCAGTTTGCTCTTCTCTTTGAAAAGTAAAAGATGCTCATGGGACATTCCAGGTTCCACAGGGACCTGGGCAGCCGGTAGAAAGGGAGTGCAGGTGTGCTGCCTTGGACTTGGGGCACCTTACACGCCCCTGTGGGACACGCGCACCGTCCTGAGGACTGTGTGTCTCCTGTTTTCCTGAGTTAATCTTACAAAGGTGAGTGACAGTTGTCTGGTCTCAGACATGGAGGCTCTGTGGCTGCGCTGCTGGCTGGTTGCCCTGAGCTCGGTCAAGGCCGGGCAGGTGGCTCACCTCACCCTGGAGCTGGGTCTGCTGAAACCCATTGTGGGGAAACTTCTAGAGGCCAGAGTGAGCAGGGATACTTTTCTGGAATTTCCAGTTGATGTGCTTCCCTGGGACCTGGGCTCAGACTCCCAGCATCTTGTGGCAGTGCCAAGCTAAGATTATAACATGAAGAGGGTGAAATTTCAGCTTGGCAGAAGCCAAAACTGAGCATCATGTTTAGATGACCTGCTATGATGAAGAGGTTGCACAGCAGCTAGGCTCTGCAGCCAGGCAGGAGCCCCGTCAGCGGGCGTCCTTGGGGTGTTTGAGTGCTCCCCGCCGCCTGCAGTGTGCCAGGGTTCCTGCTGACTGGGGGGCTCCCTCTCTGCTTCGTCCTGTCTTCTTGATGAGGTACAATTGCGAGGCTTCCAGCGGCGGAAGTGTACTGTGTCTGCTCAGCACAGGAGCGGACAGGGGCTCGTTCTGCCGCGTTTAGGATGGCACCTAACACCAGCAGCATCCTGGAGAAGGAAAGTCCAGGCCCCGGCAGCAGCAGCCCCATGCTGGTTCCCGAGCTGTGGAGATTACCTGGGTGGTCGTCTTCATTCCTGGGGGGCCCAAGTGCTCTGTGAAGGCAGGTGGGGGCGTCACTCCAGCCTCTGCCTCCAACTTCACACACCTCTCCTCATTCCATCATCTGTCTCTCCTCGTCACTATTCAGGTTAGACTGGGGAGGATGACCTCATGCCAAATGATGGTGTTTCCAGACAAGGTGGCTCTCAGCGAGCCCAGGGATTAGGACTGAAGGACACAAGAGTTTACAAAGATCGGAGTCACGGACTTTGTGTTACTCTTTCTTAAAAGTAATTATTTGAAAAGAGTTTCAAAGGTTCCGGGGTTTAAACATTTCCCCGAAGCTGGCTGTAGATCTAAAAATGAGAAGCCATCCAAGTCTTACAGGAATCATTTCTTGACAACTTGGAGGCCCAGTGAGAACTAAGTCCACATGGAGAGGAGGGAAACCACCCGATTAAGAAACGAGAGGCGACAGAGCTGACATCATCCGTGCAGTGTACGATCCCCCACAAAGAGCTCTGCAGCCTGAACTGTGTAGTGACAGGTGATGTCCCCGTGCGCAACAACACTGCACCGTTGGCCAACATGGCGATGAGTGGTGAGTCCCAGGGAGGACCCAGCATGAGCTACACCCCAGGTGATTGGGGACGCGGTACAGGTAGCCCCCAGCTTACAGTGCCGTTCTGTTGTGGCAGCTCTGACCTGAGTCAATTCTGGCATAAATCAAGGATCTTTTTGTTTTCTTCTTTCTTGTTTTTTATTATCAATCAGTACCTTTATGAATCCAATCTTTGAATATGTTAGTGTAAACATCAGCAAATTACCTCCAGCAAATTACATACTCATTAATGTGTGGCATTCGTGATTAAAAAAAGACCTTTTTACCACTCAAACATGTGGTTCCTAGAAGCTTGAGTATGTTGTAGGTCAGGAATTACCTGGAACTCAATGCTGTTACCATGAGAATAAGCAGCAGTTCCTGGCTGCACGTCTCCAAGCTACTCTCCGAGCCAGTATCCGCCTGGCACTGGGGAACTTAGTGAAAGCTCCACGTTCAATTAGAGCCACGCTCTGCTCCCAGCCTTGCATTTCTGCCCATGAACATCTGTTCTTGGAAGCTCCCCGGACCTGGATGAGTTGCTCCGGTCTCCTGGATATAACAAGACGTCAGTCTTTAGACGAGTCACTTAGGATACACATCCTGCAAGAAGGCTCTGGGTCAGATGCCTGAAATTTAGGTAAAGAGAGCACCAAGGACAAAGTAGCCCATTCAAATGAATTTCTCAGGGAAAAACAAGAGGACTAGATTGCTTAGTGACTAGCAGGTGTGCCCTGGGAGGGTTGCCGAAGGGCTGTGAGCAGACACACTCCCTCCTGGTCCCCTCTGGAGCCCCACCACCTCCAGAGTCTTAGTTCACTGCTGTCTTTGTCTGCTGAGACCTCAAAGCACAGAAAAGGTTCGAGGTGTTGCCGATGGAACAATCCAAGAAAATGTAGCACTGGAGACAGGGCTCTGTGGCGACCACAGTCCTGCAGGGTGGTGGCCTCGCTTCTAGCTGACTTCCGAGCAAGGATGCGTGAAAGTGACAGAGTTAATAACCTAGTTCTTCAGGGCTGCTGTATGAGAGATAGCACAGGTGGGGACTTTAACACACACGGTTATTTTCTCACAGTGTAGGACCCCTTCTGGAGGGGAAGGCTCTGTTCCTTGGCTCTCAAGTGACATCTCTAAGACGCTGCTGTAAGGCACAGTCTACACTGACAGGACATGTTAACACAACAAAGAACTCGCTCCAGATCGGATTGTGACCTTGGTAAAACCAAGCCCAGCTCACAGCCATGCGCTGATGCCCACTCACTGTGGCTCTCCGGGGCCCTGGTTGGTGTGTGTGCTGATGCCCACTCCCCGTGGCTCTCCGGGGCTCGGGTTGGTGTGTGCCAGTGAGTCAGGACCAACCCACCGCTGACCTTCCAGTACGTGTGCCGAGGCCATCCTCCCATGGAGCAGCGTGGAGTCGAACTTCAAGCCTTTAGGCTTACAGAGCTGCCTCTTACCTCTATGCTACCCGAGTTTTGAGTTTTGTGGAATTTACAAGGCTGTAAATTTTACCAGAGGAGACAGCCTCACATGTAACACACTGGGCAATTGTTGACATTGAATTGTTGCCGTGTAATCAACCGAAACTCAGGACACAGGGAAGCATCTTTCTGACAGTCTGTTTCATCAAGAGCAAGACTTGGGGCCTCTTCGGACATTGTGTTGGCTCAGTCTTTCCTGTCTTTGTAAAAATTATTTGTTTGCATAAAGTCCTTCATGAACACTATTTTATACGATCAGCCACATGAATTGGCTTGTATGTAATTGATTACTGTTGCTCTTTGCCTGTCATCCCCATCTTTTCAAGTCCCAGGACCTTTTGTTTCATCATGTGGATGTCCTGACATCATCCCACTACTCAATTGATGTTCCATTGTTTGTGTCCAGTGCATCAAATGCATTATTAAATGAACTCTAAATGCAGGTGAGATGTACTCAAGGTCCTATTTTGGCTGTCATGCCTCTGTTTCATTTTCTTCTGCTTCAGTTTGAACTTGCACATGAGATATTGATGGTCTGCTCCACAGTCAGCCCCTGACCTTGCCCTGGTTGCTGAAATGGAGTTTGTCCACCGTCTCTTTCCACATATGTAGTCAATCTGATTCCTGTGTGAATTTCAGCAGGCGAGCCCCTTGGGGATAGTTGCTATTTATGGTTGGGTTTTTTTTAAAAAAAATATAGTATTTACAGTTAATGAGTTGTTGGCCACTCAAGTCTGTCATGCAATTTTTGGCCTTATTATTATCACCAAGGTCATATTTTCCAACGACATCTTTTTTCCAACTTTTGCATTTCAGTCACTAGCTGTTATCAATGCATCTTGATTACTTGTTTGATCTGTTTCAGACTGCAGAAGGTGGTGGAAATTAGCCATTTTTTCACTATGGTTTTACTGGTTGCTGCAGAGATTTGGATAGTAGTGTGAACAGTGGGATTCCCTGTACATGTGTGGGTATCTTCCTATCATGACAACATCATATGGACAGCTCTTGAAAAGTTCTTTTTTACAATGACTGTGATGTCATTTTTTGTCAGATGTCTTATTCCCAGCCTAACAGATGATGATTGTGTGATTCAGAATGCCCAGTCCCAGTTCATCTCAGCTGCAGATGAGATGTGGATGCCTGGCACGGAGATCTCTGTGCATTCCACGTCGTTTCTGGTCAATGCTGATTTTCCTAGACCCAGGCGTCACACGTTCTTCCGCGTTCTGAGTACGGGTTGATGTCTGCCACTTTTTCTCTCACTGTGAGTCACATCCTGTCGGCCAGTAGATGGCCGCAGTGGCCAAGAGCTTTCCTCCATGCATGTCAGGGTCATATTGTGAGTGACCTCCAGCCTAAGAGGTGCCTCTTTACGGTACCATGCTCGACAGTATTCTCCAGCTAGCCACAAGGGGGTCAGAGGCCCACGATTTCAGAGGCGCATAGTCCGGCCTGCTCCTAGTCTGTCTTAGAGGGGACCTCGTCTGGAACTGCTGCGGCTCGGATTTGAAAGGCCAGGGCCATGGCTTCAGGATTACAGTGACATCAAGCCACCACCGTGTGACAGACTAGCCCACAGGGGTAACATGTGTGTCCCTGTCTCCGTGTGACTGCATAATGTCAGTCTGCTGATGTCACAGTCTCTCTGGTTGGGGAGTGTCACTGTCCTCTCCCACTGTGTGTCATGGCCAGGCCTCCCAGGAAGCTGTCCCTCAGCTGCCCCTGACAGGTCCAGTCCCCACCATGGATGGTCACTATGGCTGAGAGAGCACCTGATGAAGGGTGGACAGGGCACCCCGCTGGCCCTCATCTACGTCACAGACAGATGGAGGGGTCTCATCGGCTCCAAGCTGTGTGGATGTGGACCCCACTTCACATACAAGAAGGGGTTCCCTTCTGTGCCATGCTATGTGGACCCCTCACTTCACAGACAAGACAGGGGGTCTCTTCTGTTCCACGCTGTGTGGACCCCACACTTCACAGACAGGAAGGGAGTCTCGTCTACTCCATGCTGTGCCGACCTCCTACTTGACAGGTAGAAGGGGTCGCATCCGCAGCCTGTGTGCTATCCTAGCAGTGACCAGAGGGGCAGGTCCAGCAAGTCCTCTCCCCTTTGTCCACAGGTGCTGGTCTGGATGGAGTGGAGGAGATCAAACGCCACCCCTTCTTCATGACCATCGACTGGAATGTAAGTCCTCGGCTCAGCCCTGGTGCACATGGGTGAGAGGTGTCCAGGCCCAGGGGTTAGTGCAGACAGGCCTGGCTCAGGCCAAGGCTTCAGATAATACAGGCCACGACCTCCCTCCCTCCTGCTGTCTCACCTTCAGATTCCAGGAGCTTTCCTTTCCTGGTGAGAGATAGGGCTCCAGCCCGCCATGCTGTGACCACTCAGCCACCGGGGACAGCTCCCCAGCCCCCCAGACACACACCACTCAACACTGAAGGACAGCCAGGATATAGCTCTGGGGACACACACCTTCAGTCCTCCAGGACCCAATGCCTGGGGAACACATACAACCTGGCCTCCAGGGACAGCCCCTGGGCCAGCTATGCACACCCTCCCCATGTCAGGGGAGAAGGTCTGAGATTGTGGATGGTGTTTGCAGCTTTCACCAGGCTCCCCCGCTCCCAGCAGTCAGCAGCTGTCACTAGGATCCACCCCCCCTCCCAGCAGTCCCTCTGCTCTTCATTGGTTGGGGGTCTGAGACTGTGGTTGGCACTCGCTGCTCTTCCAGGCTCCCGCCCCCAGGCAGTCCCTCTGCTCATCCTTGCCTTTTGCAGCTGTCACCTTGACCCTGACTCCCAGGGTCCCTTTGCACAACAGAGCGACCCGTGCAATGTAGAACAAAGGTCCCGGCCATCCCCAGACACCAGTGGGCACTGAACACCGACACTCAGTCACAGGCCTGAAAGCTTTTCCATGGAGACAAAGGAGATGGGGGGTGGGCAGGAGGTGGGGTGACAAGGCAGCCCACTTGTGGGGATAGAGGGATATGACCACATTCATTCGGTCTTGAGGTTGAGGAGGACCGGGGCTAGCCCCCCTGCTTTCATCTGGGAGCATTGTGCATGAAGATGGGAAGAGGTGTTTGTCCTGTAAGACTCACGTGGAGAACAAATTATTTAGCAAAAGAAGAAGTTAGAAAACCATTGCCCACTCCAGCCACTGCATCTTGTGGAGGGCAACTCTTCTACAACCCCAAACCCTGCACCTAAGACTCAGCCTTTTACCTGCAGAATGTGCAGAAGTCCCTGATCAGAGAGAGCTGGGGTCACCAGGGTGGAAGGTCCCAATCTCACTGAGCCCCCAGGCGTCCATCCCTCACTGCTGCTTCTCCTTGTCAAAGGCTGGTGTCACCAGGGCGGAGAGTCCCCGCCCCAGCACAGCACACCCCTGGGGCCCCAGGCATCTGTCCCTCCCTGCTGCTCTCTCCTTGTCAAAGGCTGGTGTCATCTGCAGGCTGGTGTCACCGAGACCGAGAGTCCCCGCCCCAGCACAGCACACCCCTGGGGCCCCAGGCATCCATCCCTCACTGCTGCTTCTCCTTGTAGAAGCTGTACCGCAAAGAGATCAAGCCGCCCTTCAAGCCAGCAGTCGGCCGCCCAGAGGACACCTTCCACTTCGACCCCGAGTTCACATCCAGAACACCCACAGGTCTGTGCTGACATCACAAGGGTCCTTGGGGGTGCAAGGCTGACACACTAGGCTGTTAATCAAAACATCGGTGCTGAGAGGTGAAGTCTAAATGCCCTGCCTCTGAGGAGCACCCAGGTTACATGTCTGCTTGTGGGCGGCAGTCCCCGGGATATTCAGCATTCCTCTCCAACACCACAGTGCAAAGACCTCCATCTTTCGTCTGTCACCATTCGTCACTGTCCAACTTTCAGGAGCATAGGAAGCAATTGAAAATATCATGGCCTTAATCAGGTACACCTTAGTCTCTAAACTGGCATCCTTACTCTTTAGCACTTTGGAGAGGTCCCTGACACACAATTTTCCCAATGTCTGACTTCGTACTGCTGCTCCCATGGGTGTTGCTTCCTTGGTGTGGAGATGTAGCCCGTAATGAAGGGGGACTCCCATCTGCGTGTGGCGGTGGGTAGTCCTGGTGCCGGGCAGTGCTGAGCGCCCCCCACGCTGATCTCCAGGAATTGATTGTAGAGGAGAGTTGAGTGGCGGAAACACTCCTGGCTGCCGGTCAGGTGTCTCTCTCCGTGCCTTCATGGCAACCTGAGGGCAGCTGAGCTCAGGCATAAGCCTCACAGATGAGGGAAGGCAGAACAGAGGCCACTCCCACCCTGCCTCTGGCCAGGCCAGGCAGGCTGTGCCCACTTTTCTGTAAAGAGCAGAGGGCAGGACCATCCCTGAGCGAGACCAGTTGGGGGCAAAGGGGGTGGACAGAAGCGTCCACCCCCTTCCATAGCCCTGGACAGGCAGCCTGTGACCTGACAGGCGTAGATATTGGGAAGGTGGTGCCTGTATTCACTGGCTGTGGACTGATGGCCCCTGAGGACATCTCTGCCGTGTCTCTGTGAAACGGATCGATGGAGCTGAGCCGAGCTCCTCGGCACACGGGTCTACCAGCAGGCAGCCTTCTCCTGACCTTCTCGGCATCTCCAGCCATGAAAAGCAAGCTGGCCAAATACAGGGAGCGTTCGTGTGGTTCAGCGTCTGAAAATGCTGTTCCTCCTCCTCTGGTGTTCGCGCATGCACACACACACACGCTCGCATGCACACTCATACACTCACATGCACACACACACTCACATGCACGCTCATACACTCACATGCACACTTGTACACTCACGTGCGCATGCTCACATGCACGCACACTCATACGTGCTCACATGCACATACGCACATTTACACACCTGCACACTCACACACGCGCACACAGCCTGTGCTTGTTCACGTGCAGCACACCAGTGCACTTGCACACATACTCACACACCCACATGTCTCACACAAATACATTTATACACCACACTCTTACAATCGTGCTTACACCTGTGCACAATGTGTGCACACCACACGTAATCCTACACACACAGCACACCATGCACTCACACAGAGCACAGGCTGCCGTTCACACACACAAATACCCCGTGCACTGCATCTCACACTCATGTGGTCACACATTACACACAAGTCACACACGTATATACATACCCACCCCCTCACGCACACACTCTCACAGAGACCTCACACCCTCCCCCGTGCACATACTCATTCTCACTCATGTGACCCCGCACACGGGCACACCCATACACACTACTCCTCACACACAGACATCCCCCTCACGCGTATGCACACATACACACATGTACACATGCGGTCATCCTCCTCACACCTGCCGTCGTGTCTGCATGCCATCTCTTCATCCCCAGAGGCCTGACCCTGCATTGTCCCTGCAGATTCTCCGGGTGTCCCTCCCAGCGCCAACGCCCACCACCTCTTCAGAGGGTTCAGCTTCGTGGCCTCGAGTCTGGTCCAGGAGCCCACACAGCAGGACCTCCACAAGGCCGCGGTCCACCCCATCGTCCAGGTAAGCCCCTCACGGCCCCACACCCGCCTCCTCCAGTGGGGCGGGCTGACAAGGGCTTCACTGCATGAAGCCTACCTGGTTGCGGCGGTGCCCACGGTGACCCCTCTGCCACTGAGTGGTGTCAACAGGGAAGAAAGTCCCCACACCAGCACCAGGGGTCCCCAGGGCAGAAGGTCCACACTTCACCTCCCTCCTCGGGGTCCCAGGCATCCATCCGAGTCCTGAATACTGGACTTCATTAGATCCAGAGCCAAGTCAGGTTCAGGGAGTCCCTCCCTCCACATCCCAGGGCTTCTCTCATGCTCACCACATCCCACATCCCGGTGTCCTTCACACCCACATCACAGGTGGTCCCAGTAGGTTCCTGACCCCATTCCCAGGGGTACCTGAGGCCCCCTTGAGCCATTGCTCACAGCCCTGCTTGCCTCCTTGGGTAGAAGGAAGAGGGGGGAGCCTGAAAAGAAGGGTCCCTGGGGTCCAGGATGGCCCACCCCGTGTGCTAAGCCTGTACCCCAAGTGCCAGTGTGCTCGTGATGTGTATTTGGGGGAGGAGGCAGCATTTTTCTAAGGCCTCTTTCACCTTATGGCCCTGGTGGCACAATTGTTAGGCATTCAGGTGATCATTGAAAGGCTAGCACTTGAGACCACCTGCCGTCTGGAGAACAGTGCGCAGTCTGCACCATAAATACTCAAAACCAAAACCACGTCCTGAGGCAGAACCAGCCCAGAGCCGACGCTCCAATGGGCTTTCAGAGGCTACAGGTCCCGTGGGAGGAGACGGCCCGTCTTTCTCCCCCACAGCAGCTGGGGGGTTTGAACTGCCGTAGAGGCATCGCTTGGGGTTAGCAGCACCTCTGCCCAAGACCACGCCCCCTGAATACCCCATGGCTGCAGCCTGGGAAACCCTGTGGGGCGGTTCTGCGCTGTCACGCGGGCTTGTGTGAGTTGGGATGACGACGGCAGTAGGATTACTCCTGGTAGTGAAATGCATTGGGTGCCGGGCTGCTAATGAGAAGGACAGTGGTTCTCAGCCACCAACCCCTCCTCAGGAGAGAGGCAGAGGAGGCCA